CAGAACGTCAGTTCCACAGTCTCTCACGCTAACAACTGGAATGCACTCGGCCCTGAAAAGAAGTATACTGCACAATTGTTTTTAGTTATCAAGCTAGGTACAACTCATGAGTCCCATAAATAGAGTCTAAATATGAAAAGGAGCTAAGATCTTCTAAAAACCAACGATTCTAAGCTCATCCAATGTAAAACATGACCAGACATCCCAGATTTTGGATTGTTGTCATGGTGTCTCGATAGATCCTTTTGGGAAGCCTAGTCAGTAAACTTCGAACGTTGACAACTGTGAATCAACAAACACGAACTGTTTGCTTCTTCCTATGAAGGTGGTTGTAAGGCAGGCTACAACAGAAGACGTGATGTCCCTACTGCATAGGTCACTGAGCACGTGATTTTGCCCCACCAAAAAAAAGATACAGTTGAATGAATATGGTAGGTGCTGTTCATAGCCGATGTTCGATTTTCAGGTCGTCAAACATGCATTTAACGTCATTTGCTCAGAATTTTATTTCAAACTCCTTCTTAATAAAAAGTTGCTTGAAAAAAAATTACTCGTCAGAGAAATTTGTTTAACAGCAATAATGAAAATAAAAGCACAATTTTAATTTGATGATTTTTATTAATTGCATAATTTATGCCCTCACCCCTAAAAAAAAGGTGAGTCCCAGTTGTAAAGTCTGAAAATGTGAATATTTCTAGTTTTATGATTTACAATTCTGACCATTCTATCTATGTGGATTATATTCCTCACAAATTTTGTGCGTATAGGTTCAGTTAATTTTTATTTCTTACAAACAAGCTTTTTGTGAATTTTTATTTTGTTGTGTATTCTAAATGGATAAAAGTTGTTTTATTTCAAATAGAAATATTGTTACGACAGCGGGGCTCACGTGACGCTAGTAACACGTCATATTCTCGAAGGTTCGTGAATGCTCGAGTGTTTACTGGATATGCGGTATTCATGCATATAAGACCGCCAAGAATGGACGGCAACAAGGGAATGTAATTGAACTGCAGACAGAGATAGAGACGACAATTGAGTCATGCATGTGAGTCGTTCGTTGTGAATTATAGCGTTTGTTATAGCGTGACTGTGGAATTAAGTGTATTGCAAATTTGTATTCAGAAAGAATAAACCAGTTTTATTTAAGAAAGGACTTGTATCGCTAAAGTTTCTTCGGAAAGAATTTTTACGGAAAATTAACTAACGACCAGAGACGTAACAATATTATTTTCCATAGTTTTATGTGTATTATAGCGGGTGTATAAAACTCTATCTAACTTAGGTTATGAATTTTTTATTGGTTTGTTTGCTTGTTTGTTTTTTAGAGCAAAACTACATTGGACTATATGCTATGTTCACCGCGGAGAATTGAATCACGGCTTTGAGTATCGTAAGTCCATAGACTTACCGCTGTCCCATACTTTTTTTATTGGGATGTGTAGTCATTTTCATAACAGTAAAAGTTTGCTCGAATTGGAAATGCACTACTAGAAAATACTCAGTTATACGATATATATTAGTTTAGTAAATGGATGAAGCACATAGTCATCTGGTCTCTGCAAAAAGAGGCTCGGGAACCTAGTATGTGGAATGACAAGTGCAGTAATTTATTACTGTATGAATTTAAGAGATAAGACTTGTGGAAAGACAACCCAAATCAAACATTTTATTAACTAAAGCAGGTTTATAAAAGCCTCGATTCTGAAAGGTGTGGTAATTTCAATTTTTGTTATTTTGGAATTTGAAATCCAGCCATTTCACACTCTAAACGAGTGCTCTTCCACCCGAGCTGTAAGGTTAGCTCTTTAACAATTGATAGTAAGGTACTATTTTTTGATAACTAACTCAAACTATCACTTTTTTCCTCTATCACAAGCAAGGTTTCAGTTTTCTATTGTGGTAATTTCAAATTTATTATTTCCAGGGCTCTGAATGAATCTGAAACTTCTCATACACCAGGCGAGTGCTCTACCAGTGCTTGCTAATAAGCTGCCTTTTTAACAACTCAAACTACCACAAGGGTAAATGGAAATGTTTGAAATTAAATAAAAGTAAAAGCTATATTTTAAATTAATGATAAGATAATAAAAAGAAAAGTGGTTGGATTACTAAATGAGAAGTTAAAAGCAATCCACATATGGTCGACAGACAAACTGATAGTTTGACTAAGAGAAATAAAGACACAGATCAGATTTTACATCACATCTTGAACCCTTCAGAATTTAAATTAACTTAACCAGTCACAAAATTCAATAAGAGGAATCCAGAAGTTTCTTTTTTTCTGTGGCATTAAAAAATGACATCATACTCAGGGTGATGTTTGAATACTGTTCAACCATTACATGACCTAGTCTGGATTTATCAGATAATGAACTAAAACTAGCAAAATTTGCACAATTCTATTTACTATGTTCTAATTTAAGTTTAGTGACAATATGAAACTTACGGAATAATCTAGCCATATATTACACCTGTAGCCCTTCATTAGGTTAGACACCAAGAATATAGAACAACACAGGAGGCATAACATGGCAGCTTACTGGATGGACAAAATATGCACAAGACTCGTAGACATGACAAATGCCATCATTCACAGATACATTAACTATAATGTGACTATAGTTATGTGCAAGAGGGGCTCAAGTTACAGCATTCTCTTTCTGAGGTACAATAATATGAAGATGTAGAAGCCATCTCTAGTCTTTTACCTTGGATGAGTCACACAGAGCCATAAATATATCTGACGATGGAGCTCCAGGTCGGGAATGGTCTATAAATCCCCAGCTTGTTGAAATTAGTACTAGATTTTCAACAAAAAAAGCTGGGCAGTAGGTAACATCCACGAAATATGGATAGACGCCTTTATCAAAACCTTACCCAAACCCATGAAGGTTTACTTTTATCTTAAAGGCGATCGAATCATCAACCTACAAAAGACCATTGGCAAAGTTACATGACAAATTACTTTGATTAAAACACATACAGTTAACTAAACTGGTAACAATTTAAAAGCATACAAACTACCAGTTTCCCCCGGAAGTTTTCGTTACTTGGTTAAAAAAATAAATCAATAGCTTAATGGAATTATGTTTACTCAACCCAGTTTGAGCTGATTTCTTAAATTATCTCCTTCAAGACTTGTCATTCAAGTATTCATTTCGTTAGCCCAGTGTAATGTTTGTTTGTTTATAATTAAGCACAAAGCTACGCAATGGGCTATCTGTGCTCTGCCCACCACGGGTATGAAAACCCGGATTCTAGTCCGCAGACATCCCGCTGTGCCACTGGGGGGGGGGGGGCAGTGTAATGAAAGAAGTTGAACAATTCACAAATGAAAGCATAATATGTCACCACACCATGTTAGATTAAAATTATTAATACCGTGTAAAGTAATGTATGGTGTTTCAATTTTTTTATTCCAATACTTATTCAGGGATTATTTAAAACTTTGGACCCTTGGCAAAAATATAAACCATTAAATACACCAACATCTTTACCTGTTGGTGCCTTGTCAAAAACTTTCAGTATAAAAAAATCCAAATAAGTACCAATGACAATGGATAAGAAGAAATCCCGGTTTGAAAACACGATTGGGTTTCATTGTTTAAAAAAAGAAATAAAAAAAGTTCGGGAGGCTATAAACATCTGCTTACTGATGAAAACTTTAATTATAAAGATAATAGAGCGAATATAAGAATCGTTCTAGTAATTGTAAGTCTAATTCTTATACAGTCCTTTATTGTTTCTGTTATTG